ATATAGGGAGAAAATATATGGAGGAATAAAAGGAAAAAATGTGTTAAATGAAAAAGACAAGGAAGTTTTATGTTGTGCATTTAAAATTTTGTGATCCCAAGAGAATATTTTGATAAGGCATGTGTTGACTCAGCGTGGAAACTTTAATAACTTTTCAAAGCCTTTTGAAATTACAGCACATCAGTATCTTCAAGAAAATGAACCATTCATTGTGCTCTCCAGGTTCCAGTATGAGTTCTAACCCAAAGCAATATGTGCTTCTCAGACCCCCACATCCTAGATGAAAGGATTTCCATCCTACGTAGCTGCACGGACTGGCATCATTCAGACAACAAAATGCACTGGGGAAAATTTAAACATGTGCTCCACAGAGAGTAGGCTGGCCACTTAGAACTTAATTTAGAAGCCACTAAATTATTCCTCCTAGAATCCAAGGAGTAACAGCTTTAATTTACCTGCCTTCTTAATGCTACTGAGAAATAAGGAGTATTGCATCTATGCCTTAACATTGCAATTTAAGACACGTTTGCATGTGTTCTCTGTGCAGTTGGAAGTAACTTCAAGACCTCAGGGTTTCAGATATAAATTTCAAGCTGTGTATTTATCTTAAATGCCTGCAATCAAAGATACAGGGTGGGTTGAGTACCTACTGTGCCTTCCCCCCTCTTTTCCCTTTACCTAAAGCACAAAGTACCATTTTCTCAGAGGGAACTTGCTACGCCCCTTCCTTTGGGAGGGTTGGGGAGTGGAGCGCCTGTCCTGAGGGCTACCTGCTTGGTGTCTTAGACACTTCTAATCCTTAGCCTCTGTTTTGGCTCTCCTTGAGCAAGATTTTATGTAAAAACTTCCTCTATTAAAATGAGCACATTCCTTGCAAGCACTTGAACACTCAGATACAATTGGAACAGAAAACTCTGAAGAGAAAATCATGTGCTTTTATTTCACTTAGAGGAATTCATTTTAAACTGGACTCCAGAGTGAGGAGAGGAGGGAGGTGGAAGGAAATGTCTTCTGGTTTCTCCTGCTTCTCTCAGGTGGGCACACAGAGAGAACGCTGGGGCACTTCCGGCCATCTGTTACGATGTCTGGTTGCATCAGCCCCAGTTCTTTATCTAGACCCCGCTTCTGGCATCTGTCTTGCTCTGCTTTATGGCTTGGGGCCCATTTGCCTAGATTCTCTAACTGGCTTGCTAACTCACTAGCAAGGTAACTGAATCTCCCTGACCCCGTGCCCCTGCACTGCCCACCAGAGAAACCGCTGCTTCTTAGCTCCCACACCCAGTGATCGGATGGATTCATTCTGGCAGTGTTCCAGATTACTGTAATGAGATTTATCATATCAAAGAGTTTTATGAAGTGAAATTTTTAATCTTCTAGATTTAGTTCATGCTAAGAAATCAAGTCACAGCTATTTTAAGTTTCCAGAGCCAGGTTAATTCAATGGTTAATAGCAGACTGAATGATCTAAGAGTTTGGAAAACGGTAAATGAAATACTTCTAATTTTTAAAAAATTGTGAATACAGTTCCAGGATAGCAAGCATACCTATCAAAGAGTGAGGGGATGGGATAGTTTTAAGTAATGTTGTGGTTAATTGTTGCTTCAAATGACAGATTCCCTGAATATTAGTTCCAAAGCAACCGTAGTGTTTATTTCAAAACCAGAAGTCTAGAGATAGAAGGTTGCATGTTTTGCTAAGCAGTTCAATGGTGTTAAAATAGATGCCTGTTCTTTTTATCTATCTGGTCTGCTGTCTTCACTGTGTTGACAGTATCTCTCCTCATAGTTGCAGGATAGCTGCTGTGGCTCCAATGATCACATCCTCACCAAAAACATCTGAAAAGGAAAGAAGAGGGAGGGCAAAAGGGCTGGGTTAGACCCCAAAAGTCTTGTCCAAGTTGCACAAAAAGCATAAGGAACCTCTTGGACTGAGATCAAGTTTGCTTTTACTTCTATTTACTCCAGAAGCAGCTATAGACCATGCAGAGGATATCGCTTTGGGTCTAAAATGTGGGTGGTTATTGCCTTTGCCCCACACAGAGGGAATTCTGAGGGTCACTGTCTTGAGGCAGGTAACACAGAGAGACACATCTGCCTGGTGGGTGAAGAGCACTGTTTTGAGTCCACTGCATTTGGTGACACCAGCCACCGCAGTGTGCAAACAGCACAGAAAGCCACTCGGATGAAGTGTGCTACTCAGCCCACCATGGCACACGTCCGTCTCACAACCAAGTTTGGAGCCTTGACAATGTTGCCCGCCCTGGGAAAGTCTTCCCCATCTGTACGGGCTAGGTCACCCTTCTGTTTAGGTGCTCAACCCCTGACAGCGTAACAGCAGTTTCGTTGAGAAAGAGCGGGTGAAGACTTTGGACGCCAGAAACAATAAATGCAAAGGCGTGTTGGTGCAAGGTGGGATACTCTGTGCAGGGCACAGCCGGTGGCTTGGAGGGCTGGAGCACGGGGCCTGGGAAGGGAGTGGGAGAAAGTAAGATTGGACAGGGAGCCGGGAGCCAACAGTCATAGAGGTAAACACAGTTCACCATGAGGGCCCAGAAGAGGGCTGACCGGGCCCAGAAGAGTTTCCAGAAGTCTCGGATCTGAGTCCAGAACAGACCCAATGTTCAGCCAGATCTTAGTGCTGTGGTTCTGCAGGTTAGTTATGCCCAGGGTGTCTTGGTTACTAACTTTTGTGAATGTTGCCTCTTTTCTAGATAGATTCCCTGGCAGAGAAGGGGAGTGGGCTTCCCAGGGAGAGTTAACCAAAGGCAATCAGAGAAGAGAGAGATGGAAACACTAGGGGCAGGAGGCCCAGGTGGTGGAGGGGCCAGCCCACAAGAGGCCTTCTGCGGCAGGCACGGGGGTTTCCACTCCTCCTGTGGACCTGGCAAAGGCAGACCCAGCCCCCCACCCCGGCGACGCACCTGCGGAACTGGACCCCGACTCTGCCGGAGACCAGGCCCTGGGGCTTCTTGAGGGCAGGGCACTGAGAATGGAGAAGGCTGACTGTGACACCAACGACCTGGCAGAAGTAACTGTCGTGTTTTATTTCTTTTTTAAAAAGATAAAAAAAAAAATGGGTGGAGGGACGAATGAAGAAGGGGCAGGGAAGGAGGGCACAAGGGAGTAAGAGAGGGAAGAAAGGGGAAATAAAGGAAAGGAAAAACGGGAAAGGGAAAAGTAGAAACCATCGTGGCAAAGTGACAGATTTGGCTGAATAGCGGGTACAGAAATCTTAGTTGTCACTATGGTTACTGATTTGTTATGTTTCCCCATTTTGCTTGAGATAGTTCACTTTCTAAAAATAATGAACACAGGTAGAAATGTACATAGATGTCTTTTTGAAAAGATATTTGATATGTTATCAAAAGACCCCAAAATGCTCATTTTTGACTCCATAATTTCATGCCAGGACAGGCATGGATAGATGTACAAGAAATGTATTTCCATTGTGCTGGGGTGGGGGAGTGCTTCCCAAACAAGCGAACAGCTGTTTGAATGGCAGTCTTTCCCAAGTACTGGCACCTGTCCTGGTGCAATGAATAGAGTATTCTGAAATACAACTAACCTTTTCTTGATAATTTTTATTAATATAATTAGCAATCAAAGTACATGCTAATAGAGTCACTGATCCAAGAAGCTGCTGAGGTATGAGGGAGACCTCCTGTCCTGTCTCACGGTGCTCTCCTTGTGCGTCAGTCGGCTGCCATTTCTCATCACTCTTCCCCTCAGCTCTCACGAGAAATCCCCACCTGGTCAGAACCAAACCAGACCAAACCAGACAACCAAGTCTGTTCGTGGCTGTCTGAACAGAGGCCTGGAGGGTGCCTCCAGCCCCTGGGGCCTTGTTAAAGATGCTCCTTCCTGGGTTCCGCTTCTGTCCCTCCTACAAGGACCCTCTCAACCCCACAAGCACCTAAAGTAACTCTTATTAACATTTGCCAATCACTGGCTTATGGACTCTCCTGTGCCAAATACCCATGAGCTCAGGGCCATACCCAGCTAGCAGCATTCAGTGCCATCGAGCCGCTGCCCACGTGGGGTTGTTCAGGAGCAGGCCCAGATGGCATGGTTCTTGTGCCACGCAAGGTGCTACATATTCTGAATATCACGTGGGCTCACTGACTTCTATTTTTTGAACTTGGATCACTTGGGTGGATGGGGAGGCTAGATGAGGAGAGATTTACTTCCTGGGCCTCTCTGTCTTTAGGTTAGCTGAGATTTCTGATGACTGGCCCTGTACAATTAACAGCTACCTGACCTTATGACCTAGGGATAAATAGGGTAAATTATTCATATTTTCCAAATAGGAAACTGCACAGATGCACTGACTTCTACAAAATAAAACAATGCTGACCATTTACCAGAGATAAAGTAAATTGGCTACATTTTCTTATGACATCCCTTTGGATTGAACATTTAATAGTTTATATGATGCTCAATTAAAATAAATTGCAACATATTTACTACACACATTTTAAATTATTTTAATGAAAATGATTACTTTGCTCATGTTTTATAAAGTTCATAAAAAACAGTTTTAAAACAGTATATATGTCTACTGCTTCTTCCCCTTAAAGACAGTTGCAGGTTTTTATCCTGCATTTTAAGTTGAAAAGCCTCCGAATGTCTGAGATATATGCTAATGGTCAACTAAAGAACATGCACTACAACCCTAATAGAACATGAGTACCAGACCTAGACACTATTAGTACCAGTCACAGCCTCACACACCACCACCACCAAATACTCCAGAGTGAAAATACTCGTATATTTGTATAATGCAAAGAGAAATACAGATATAAATCCTCAAAACAGAAGGTAAGTTAATAAAAATGTAGCATTGTAAGCAAAAATTATACAGTACTTGCAGAATTTAGTCTTTCAATGTAAGATTACAATGTGTCTAACAAAGAAATACTATTTAAAATTATAATTCTCATTATTAATTTAAAATAACCATCAGTAGAACAGCACAGCTTAACCCAGCAAACATTTGAAGAAACCACTTTGTTTCCCAGAAGTTCAGTATCATTATATGCCATTCATTTATACCATGAACAAAACAAAATTTTAAAAGTGGAAATTAGTTTCATAAGCCAGAATAAAACTGGGCTCTTCAAAGCACAATCTGTTTCCATAAAATTATTTTAATTTTTATTAGCAAAAAATAGCTAAACAATGTCGATTTAGTACTCTGCTTCTCAGAGCCCCCAGCAGTAACCCACAATCCGCACGGACAAAAACATGCAACACTGGATTTTCTCCACACCACTACTAACCAAAACACCTTTCAACTTTTGAAAGCTCCAGTTTCACAGAAATGTTTCCAGTCAAGATCGGTGCAGTGCTGAAAGCTGTCCCTGACGGTATTTTCTGTACACAGTAACACAGGAAACAAACCTCTGTTGCCGCTGGAACCGCCCGCTGCCCAGGCACCCCGCTGCTGCTCTTCAAATTCAATTTCAATTCGGAACAAAGTTTTCAACACTGTCAAAGAACCAGATCAGCACAACTGACCCCATGGCTGGCAATTCAGAGGGATAAGACAATTTCCTCCCACCACCCCTTCTGCTTCCAACAGAAGACCCTCAAGAAATCCAACTTGTGAAGTCCCCCTCGGTTTCTTTACTCCGCCGCAAAATGTAATGCCACTTGAGGTTGTCAAAAATAGCTTCTGTAGAAAACTGGCCATGGTCTTTAGGAAACGTTGCATGAAGAAAATTAGTTTAGCCTTTATTTTCAAAAGTAATAACATGGAGTAAAAGACATCAGTACCAATACAAAGACTCCAGGGCCCATTTTCAGGATGAAAATATATTTAGGAGGACGATGGGGGGAGCTGGGGTGGGGCTGGAAATGGAAATTCCCCTACCCCCTAAGAGGAGTCTGTACAATCCGAGTGTTAATCCACTTTGAGTCATTTTGAAGGCAGCTTAGACAATTAAAAGGGGGTTAGAGGGGAAGAAACAACGTCAGTGTCCAAGCCAAAGGGAAAGGCTGGGTCGGGTGTGCCTGGTGCGAGAGCCCTTACAAACCAATGCCTTTTAAGTCGCAGGGGAGGCTGGCCTGGGTGGCCTGGGGGCTCTGGCAGCAGGGGAACTGGGCCCTGAAGCAGTCCCTCAGCTCCCTGTTGAAGAGGAAGCACACGACGGGGTTGATGCCGGCCTGCGCGAAGGTCAGCCACACGGAGGCCGTCAGGTAGGCCTGGGGGACAGCGCCGGGCCGCACCAAGACCCGCAGGTAACTGGCCACGACGTAGGGCCCCCAGAGCAGCAGGAAGAGCAGCGTGATGGCGTAGAACATCTTGCACAGCCTCTTCTCCGTCTTGAACTCCTCGAGCACGAGTAAGCGGCGCGCGCCGCGGCCGGGCCCCGCGGGCCGGATGCCCACGAGCGCGGGCGGCGTGGGGCCGCGGCCAAAGCCAGCCGTCCAGTTGGCGGCCGCCTGGCCGGTGGCGCCGGGGCCGTGAAAGGTCCAGTCGTGGCTGACGGCGGGCACTAGGCGCGCGGGCCTCATCTTGCGGCGGTCGTGGATGAAGAAGAGCAGGCGGAGGTAGACGAGGTGCGTGGCGCCCACGACCGCGGCCAGCAGCAGGAGGAAGCCGAGCGCGCCCGGGGCGCCGTCGGGCCGCTGCTCCAGAGCGCACGGCGCGTCCTCGTCGTCGCCGCCGCCGCCGCCGTCCAGCACCGGCGGGAAGGCCGCGGCCAGCGCCAGCGCCCAGGCTGCGCACACCAGCATGGCGGCGCACGGCCAGCCGGCCAGGCGCTCCGCGTAGAAGCGGTGGTGCGCGATGGCCAGGTAGCGGGTGACGCCCACGCCGAGCAGCAGGAAGGCGGCGTGGAAGCAGAAGAGCGCGGCCAGGAAAGCGAGCAGCTTGCAGCCGAGCGCGCCCGGCGGGGTCCCGGCCGCGGCCGCCGCGCGCCGCGCCGCCAGCATGACAGCCGGGAGGCAGGCGAGCGCGCGCAGCCCATCGGCCAGGCACAGGTCGAGCAGCAGGTAGTACGGGGCGCGGTGCAGGCTGCGCTCCCGCACGATGAGCAGCGCGAACAGCACGTTGCCCGCTAGGCTCACGCACAGCAGCAGACTGAGCGTAGCCAGCTTGATGCCCAGGGCGGCCGCCTCGCCGCCACCGCCGCCCGGCTCGCTGGCGTTCGCCATCGCGGCCTCCCCGCCCGACGCTCCGCTCCGGAGCCGCTCCCGGCCTCGCCGCTCCGCAGGCCGCCCGGCCCAGGCTCCGCCGCCGCGCGGGCCCTGCGCGAGCTCCGGGGCCGGCGGGGCTCAGCCTGCGCCCGGCTGGCGCCTCCCGGGCTCCCCGCGCCACCGCGCCGCCGCCGCCGCCATCTCAGGAATGATGCGCGCGGGAGGCGACGGCCACTCCCTGCGCCTAGGGCGCCCAGGGCTTCACTGCGGACAGGGCCGCCCGGCCGCCCGGCCGCCCGCAGCCCCCCGCATCCTCCTCCACCTCCTCCGCTGCTGCCGCCGCGCCTCTTGGCTCTGCCCCCCGCCGCCGCCGCCGCCGCCGCCGCCGCCGCCGCCGAGCCCCCTCCCCTCCGCCGGTGCGCGCAGCGTGGCCGCCGCCCGGGCCGGGCTGGGGGCGCCGCCGCGGCCGCTGCGGGGCCGGTAGGCTGCCGGGAGGGAGGCAGGGCTCAGGACGCAAGGTGGCGACAAGTCGTGTTTGGCCCCAGGTAACGGGGATCTGGCGGCGGCGTCCGGCGCCCGCGCTGGGTTCACGGTGGCCGTGCGCGGGGGTGGGGTAGCGGGACTGCTGCTTGGGATGGCAGGTTGGGGAGGCCTCATCCAGGCAGGAATATCTGGATGAGCCTTCCACCCGAAAGCTAATAATAATTAACAGTCGTAATCATTATAATCATGCAATCGCCTGCGTTCAGGCAGCACTGACTAGGGTGGTAAAGCTGGGAGCTTTACAAGCGTTGTCTTGCTCAGTGTTCACAATAACTACAAAGTTGGTTCTTATCTTAACCCCACTTTGTACCTGAGGAAGCAGAAGCTTAGAGGTCAGAGGGGTTGAGAGTCTGTGAGCGGTGGAACTGGGATTTAAAGTCACTGGGTCTGATTTCCACAGCTGGACTCCCTGCGACAGTGTTGCAGGCCTGGACCTCTGCCTCCCCACCCCACCCCTACCACCGTCCCAACCCAGTGGAGACAGGTGTCAGGGAGAAATCAGCTTCGCTCTGAAATGACTTGGAAGTTGAACCCCATGACACATTCCTCCCCAGGTGTCTGTTTTCTGGTACGCCTGAAAGGGAGCCCCTATTCTGAGCCTCGAACACACCAAGTTCTCTTAAGTCTGCACGTGCGACTCCCTCTGCCTGGTCCAGCCCCACCGTTCGGTCCTCCGGACCATCCTTCTGACCAGCCTCTCACTCCGTATCAGTGAGCGTTTGTTTCCTTCGCAGCACATATTTTAATTTCGTTTAAAAATCTTATTCTTTCAACTAGTATTGGAGTTCTATGAAGGCAAGGGAGCATGTGTGCTTTTTGTACCACTGTCTCCCAAATGCCTAGCGTAGTGGAGCCAGAACTGAGGCAGAGGACGTTGTTTATCGCCCACCTACTGCGTTCCTGGCAAGCTCTTTGATGGGCATGTCCATCGCAAGGCCATGGAAGGCCCGGGCCAGCAGGCTTACAGAATCCAAATTTTAGCCTCTAGGCAGTAAAGAGCCCTGAGGTGTCTTGAGGAGAGGGACTTGATGAGAACTGTGCGCCAGGAAGATGGTCCCGGCAGGACTGCTCGGGAGGAAGGACAGCAGAGCCTGGGAGTGTGGTCTGGAACCTCCGGCTTCACCATGCACGAACCCCGGAAGCTGTGAAGTGCGGACTTTGGTTCAGCAGCCCTAGAACAGAGCCAGAGGCTCCGCACTTCCAGCAAAATCTCCGTGACCCTGGCGCTGCCGGTCCGCAGGCTACACTTCAAGCCACAAGGACCTTGAGAACGGTGTGGACCTTTTGCGAAAACGGAAGTGACAGCCAATAACGGTCTCGCTGAACACCCCTAAGTGGCTAGGGGCAAGTGGCCAACCAGGCAGGTCTGTAAATATTTATTGACAGGAAAGAAAAATCAGTTTTGGAGGGTATTTTGGTTAGGATTTCAATTTGACAATAGTAACTAAAAATGTGCATATGTTTATTTTTCTCATGAAGTAAGAAGTATGGAGATCAGTGATTGCTGATTGAACTACTGAGCCAAGGACCCAGCCTCTGGAAGTCCAGCCTTTCCCGGGTGGCCAGCAGGCTGCGCACCTTAGCCACCGCTTCTGCTCTCCAGGCAGAAGGAAGGGAAAGGAGGGACGCGCAGCCGCCCTGCCTTCCCAGCAGGCCCGGAGAGTTTCCAGGAGTCCCAGTTGTGACAAACACTCATGCCATTGGCTGCCGCTGGCAGGAAGGGGGGTTGGAAGATGTGTCTTTCTTTTTCTAAAAAAAACAAGACGTGGAACCCGGCCAGTGTGGCTCAGTGGTTGAGGGCCAACCATGCACCAAGAGGTCACGGGTTCGATTCCCGGTCAGGGCACATGCCCAGGTTGTGGGCCTGATCCCCAGTGGGGGGCGTGCAGGAGGCGGCCAATTAATGTTCTCTCTCAACGATGTTTCTATCTCTCTCTCCTTTTCCCTTCCTCTCTCTAAAATCAGTAAATAAATAAATAAATAAATGCAAGCAGGACATGGAGAATGAAATCCTGCCTTGATGCTTCTGCCCGAAGGAAGGGGTGCCTTCTTATAACCCACACATAGACACAGACTGTGGTCGCTTTATGATGATACTAATTGCCATCTCCACTTACTGAGCACTTCCTGTGTGCTGTACACTGTGCTAAATCCTTGACGTGTGTTATTTCATTTAATCATCGTGCGGACTATGTGTGGTGGGTACTATTACACTCCATTTTGTAGATGAGGCAGAAGTAGAAGCTAGATCTTCTCACTCCTAGGTCACTTAGCAGAAATAATATTATTTGTTCTGATCAACATGTGACATTGGACAAGTCACTTAACCTCTTGAAATCTCAAGTATTCCCATTTATAAAATGGGACATTGGACTAACTGATTTCTGAGGGTCCTCAGATCTGAAGTCCACTTTGTATATGAGAAAATGCAACTTAAATGGTTATACAATCCCAAATGGGGAGAGATTTATTTTTCAGATAAGGACACAGAAGAAGAGACAGTAGTCCCTTATTAGTTAGATTTCTCTGTGTTTTCTACTTATCTCTATGACTCAATATGTTTCTCTTTGAGATTTGAGATTTGGTTTAGTCATTTACCCAGGATCAAATAGCAGAAGCAGCAATAGAAAATGTATAAATCATGGCTCTCACAAGATTTATATGCCTGCTTCTTTCATGATCAACGTTTGTTCAGTAAATTAATACTTAAGGGAAAACTATTAATATTTCATTGCCAAACTCAACTTATTTTTCTTTCATTGTTTCTAGGAAGCTTCAGACAAGAATTTAAAGTAGTTTCTTAGGCACCAAGTTAAGTGCTTACACATCAAAGCAAAATAGCTCATTGAGATTTTTCCCTATAAGAAAAATTTCCATTTTGCTCATAATCAAATTCTTTCTTTTGCACATAAATAGAAAAATGGAGATTTCCCCCCAGAATAAGATATGTCCCTTCTTTGCTGGACATAAAGATGGTGTGATTGGTAAGAAAGATCTGGACTGTTCAGAGCAACTAGTTGACATACCTTGGTACAGCAAGGCCATGAGTCCCAATGTCGTGGGAGCCAATTTGGCCAATGTCTCCTGTCCAACCTCAGGTTCCTGGCCAGTCATCTGCCAACGGATGCATTGAGCACCAAGTTAGAGAAGATTGGTTTGACTTCAGCCTCCCCAACTCTTAGAAAAATTAGCCACAGTCTAGGTCTAAGGAATGCTGGGTTATCAGAGGACAGCACTCCGACTGGCCTTTCCATGGGAGGGAGTCATTACTTCAGGAATGGAAACAGACTTGGAGTTAGGTGTACCTTGGTTCGTATCCAAGCCCTACCAATTACTCGTGTCCGTTCTCACCCAAATCCCTTGCTCCTCTGAACTCAGTGGCCTATTATGAGGCAGGTCCCATTAAGTGTGAACCATTTAGAGAGCGCAGCACAAGCCGTGTGCACAGGTGGTGTGTAATTAGTGGCAGCTCCCATTATTCATGTTTGCTCTTACCAGACTGGTGCTGGATGCCTTGGCTCACCATGACTTTTATTTTCCACTCCGGTGGAGCCTGGCTGGACACCCTGTACATAGTGGGTTCTCAATATCTGTGTGGCAGGTGTGCGTGTCAGTCCATAAAACTGAGCAAGAAATACAACTGTTCCCTAGAAACCAAATGTCTCACTCTGAGTTGCCATTATTTCTTGCTGGTGGTAAAAAGTACCTAATTCTTCTTGGGTTTCATCATGACCCCCATCTTCTTCAGGAGATGACATAATGTCAGGGCAGTGCCTAGGTTACACGGTGCACAGACGTTCAGGAGAGCCTGTGGGAGAGCTAGGGGAGGGGTGTCCCATCGGATGTTTGGTCAGTTGTTGCCTATCGTTCCTGTCCTTGTAAACGACTGTGGCTTAGTGATTCTTAGCTGCCTGATGCCAGACTTAGGGTTGAGAATCTGGGCCGAGGCTGCCTGTGCTACAGATACATCCATAGCTCTTCCTCTCAGCAGTAGGTCTGGGAAATGGGTCAGAGCCCTTCTCTCTCAGGACCTTTTTCTTCTCCTCCCTCCTTCCTGCCTTCATTTCTGGGGCCTCCCTGTCTACTCTGGCAGAAAGGAAAACCACTTAGTCCTTATTTTTCTGGACAATTCCCCTGAGAACCTGTGGTGCTAGAATTTAGGTGTTTGAGAAAACAAATCCCTTGCTGTATCCCTCTCCTAGGCAAAGGAGAACCGGACAGAGACACAGACAGAGAGAAACATCGATTGGTTGCCTCCCACATGTGACCCACTGGGGCCGGTGATCACACCTGCAACCTTTTGGTATACGGGACGATGCTCCTACCAACTGAGCCACACCATTCAGGGATGGGGGGAAAATGATCAGTTCATAACTCAAAATATTGTTTTTGCTGCATATATTTGTTGAATGAATCACTTAATATCTCTATGTGTATATGTATGGCTTATTGTAACTTGAGTGAAAATTCCTTCA